TACTTTTGTGTGTTTGCCGTACTGGGCTCCTTTGAGAGGAAGGCAGGGATATGAATCTTAGCAACAACAATTTGAAAATAAATGTGAAAAGGGAGAGGAAATGCCATACAGAGATCTGAAGGAGCTGGTGCCTTTCACTGGTGTGGAAAGAACGCTGTTCTAAAAACATTCCATTCCGTACAGCCCTTTGGGTGATTGGTCTCTGAAAAGAACAAGGGAAGGGATAAAACACAATAGTATATTTCATGCAGCAAACTGATATCCATGCAGACATGAACCAACTGTAATGGAGAAACTGGTGCAGATTCAAAGGACCTTGAGTAGATTGTTGCTGACAGATAAACCTTATGGTTGTAGTCAGTTCTTGTTTACCTCCAGTTTCAAAATCTTTGTGGATGGCAGAGTTGGAATACACACCTACTTTTCCCTGGAAGTATGCTGGCTCAACTTTATAACCTCTTTCCTGCCCTGTGCTGCCAAATTATATTACCTAAATTTAAACTGAGGTATGTCAAGCCAGCCTTCAAAATGCCAAGGGACTTTTGTCTCATTTTTGCCTAAGCTCGAAAACATGGGGTAGCCTATTTTTGTCTGCTGTACAGAACCATTCCATTTGTGCACTTATCACGACAGCTTGGCCTCATTTGAACACAGCAGATGTATTTAAGGTTCGGGCAGCATAACAGGAATCGATGAATTGGTGTGTTCCCTTTTAAGAATAAGGAAAAGCTGAAATAGGAAAAATGGCCATGGGGAGTAGAGAAGGTAAAAGAGAAGGGGAGAAAAACAACTTACAGAGCAGGGATGAGCAACCTCTGGCCCTCCAGAGGTTGTTGATCAACTCAGGATGGTTGCCACCAGTCTCTATAGAAGAGGTTGGGAACTTGAGGTCTCTTAGATGTTGTGGACTGCAGTTCCCATCAGCCTCTGCCAACATGGCTAATGGTCAACAATGATGGGAGTTAAAGCCCAGCAAAATCTGGAGGTTTCCCATTTCTGTTCTAGAGTTTGAGAGTCTTGCACAAAAATCTGAGCAAATACAGGATAAATGTGGTTTTCTTGAATAACTAGAGTGTGGTATAACTTTGTTAGAGACTCCTGGCCTAACTAAGCCTTTACAGAGCATCTGCTATTGTACATAAGACATGCCAAAAGAAAGTGAAACTGAGGTGTCAGTATAAATATATATCTTCCTTTTCTATTAGGGCAAACAAGGCAGGATATCAGCTAGGTATTAAAATGGCAGGCGATTATTTCAGATGATGGAACATCACATCTCTGACTTTATGAACTGACTTCATGAAGTTATTATGGAGTTTTGCTGAAACTAATCCTGTATACCCATTCCTTAGTTTTGGGATATTTAAATAAATGATTTTGTGCAGTAAAGGTAGAGCTGCAAAAACATGTAAAACGGTCGAGAAAAATAGAAGCCACCCAGTGGTGGAAGCTGGTAGTCCTTTCTTAGGTAAGAAACCCAAAGCGCAGCACTGATTTGCATGCAATATGAAACTGTTGTGATAAGATAACAAATAGTACTTGGATGCTTGTACCTTCTTCCCAGGCACTCTCATTAAGTCATAACTTGTTTCTCCTTGAGCAAAAGTGGCACTGGGAGTGCAATCCTAACCCCCACTTACCTGGGAGTAAGCCTCATTGAATTTAATGGGATATCCTTCAGTGTAGATGAGATCAGGATTGCAGCTGAATAACCCTCTTCCCTTGTGGGGTGAAGATTACAGAGCTGAGTAGTTGCTGTTGGACCGCTTCACAGTAAGAGCTGAACTGTTGTTAAGCTAAACTATTAAAGAAGAGATTTGCCAACCTGCTTTTCCCTGGTGGGATCTTGAGCCAAGACGAAAAGAAAATAACCCTTCTTATGATGAATCTGGCCCTAGGTGCTGACCCAAGGGTTACAGTACGTCATTACGAAATGATGGCAACGTATTGTGCCACTATTTTCTTAGTGTAATGTATGTCTGTTTAAGATATCTGTCCTTTGATTTAAAATACTCCAAAGCGTTAATTATTGATACAAAGTGCCTACAGACTCCCAGTATCCCCTCCTATACTCTTATTGCTGAATTTGTTAAGCTATTTATGTTCAGGGTTTTTTTAGTTTACAAATGGGGAGGGGGTGCAAATTTGGGATTTGCCGGTGGTATCTGAAAAGGCAGGCTTTGTTGCTGATGGTGCAAATGCATCTCCTCTGCCAAACACACCCTTCTGATTGGCTCAGGATAAGCTCTGCTATTCACTCCCACCTAAACAGGGAAACAGTATGGTCTATTCCAATCCAATTTGAGTTTAATTAGCAATGGAATCTGATCCTTCCCATGAGCTTCCAGTTCCCCTCCCCCTTCCCTCAAACCTTCCATATGCCATTGTGGCTTCCAAGGCTGTGATGGAAGGGAACCCCCTCCCTGCACCTGATGCTTCCTTGGTAGAATGCCAGGCACCAAGAATACTGAGAACTACAGTTCCCAGGAAGCACTGTAAGGGAGCTAAGTTGTAATGTAAAATAATTAACTAAATAAAGCACACAGTTAAACATAACCCAACAAAACGAGATTAGTTTTCTAGCATCCACCAGTCTGTGAGGAAAATCTCTTTTTATTGTCAAGGGTCAAACTGCTATGAAATTCTGTTTATGGAATATGTGCAACCTTTCCCTATTGTTGGCTGGCAGAAATAAGCTAAAAACTCCCAACGAGCAGCAGCTAAAAGCGCCAACGTTCTGAAATTCACAGTAAACAAAAATCTGTTCTAAATTGTTCAGGGTCTGAGAAGAGTTCCACATGAGGAGTCATTGTCCATTTCTTGGCTCATTTTCTGAGGTAAATTCTTTTCCTAGGCACAAATAACCACAGTGCCCTTCTCTCCCCTTCTCTCTACCATAACTCACACTGCCCTTCTTTTAAGAATCAAGTTTACTGTTGGACACATTTGTGCAGTTTGATGCAGTGTATGTTTCCTCAGAAGTAAGTCCATTTTGTTCCATGGGGCTTACTCCCAACTAAGTGTACATAAGATTTCAACTCACAATAATACATGGGTGAAAATAAAGCTACAGGTTATTTTATTTTACAATATAAAGCTGTTTTATAGTAGAATTTTTAACGAGCCTTTAAGTATATCCAGATATTCTAGCCATGAAATCTGTCACAGGCTCAGCATAAGTCCTTTGAATATGTGGCTTGCTTAACATTGCTGTTACACATGGCTCCGCCTTTTCCTACTTGGTTGAGAGCTATTTGGTGGCCAATTACATAGGGAAAAAATCTATCACCAGTTCTATTCACCAAGTGATAAGGTATAAAGAGGACAAGAGAACCCTTATTTCTCGCTAGAGAGAGGCCTTTGCTGCTTTCCTGCAGCTTTATCTATGAAAATAAATGCATTAATCTATGCTTACTTGAATAAGTTCAAGGAGAGCATTTCTAGTATATGTTCAAATTTACATTTTATACATTTTACATTGAATTTTCTCCTTCAGAAGTGTTATAAGTATTACATATCGGTTTGTTCTCAGTTATATGCTCCCAAGCGTAAGACCTGAACTACATATGAACTACCTGAACTACATGGTGCAGCCTTCCTAGGATTGTACCATTTGAGAATGTAGGTTGAACCAGGCAGAGGGCCTTCTCGGTAGTGGCGGCCGCCCTGTGAAATGCCCTCCCATCAGATGTCAAGGAAATAAGAAACGATCTGACTTTTAGAAGACATCTGAAGGCAGCCCTGTTTAGGGAAGTTTTTAATGTTTGATGTTTTATCGTGTTTTTAAAATTTTGTTGGAAGCCGCCCAGATGGATAATAATTTATCACTACTACTACCACTACTACTACTACTACTACTACTACTACTACTAAAGGATACACCATATTAAAAACGCCCCCTCCATGAAAACATCAAGGTAAATGCTGAGCTAGACATCCCAGCATGTGTTCCATGTATGGGGGGGTGTTTTTTTGAAGGTGTGTGGCATTCAGTCATGCAATTCTCCAACTGTATTCTGAAGCAATACAGCCTAATAATATTTCTGAATGTGCTGTTTTGATTAAACTACTTAGCATCTTCCCAGACTTTCCTCCCAGCACCCATACAAAAGCAATGCTGTTGGCAGTGATGCTACCAGCAGATGAGCTGCCCCCCCTCTCCCCACCCCCTCCACCATGCACTCCCACCTCTTAAGATATGCTGTGTGAGCGACCTGTAAGTTCCATTACATATGAGCCCAAGAGCGTTCTTACAAGTTAATTCAACCGGAGAGCCCCTGAGAATATACATTATTCATAGGTTAATATCTGTTTTGATTACATTGATTTTCCCCTCCGCAAAAAGTTAAATGTTAATTATTTTTATCTGCAGGGCTTTGGAAGATGCTGATATATGACCACATCCATACTGGTTTTTACAAGCCTGCTGGCAATCAATACATTCAAATACTTAATGGGTTTAGATTGGACCCCAAAACATCCCAATCAGCATAATGGCTTCTTTGGCTTATCTTGAGATGTGCCTTGGAACATTCTTGCAAGCAGCTTGCTTAAAACTGCTGTTTATTAGAACAGTAGCCTTTTGAGGGACCCCTGCCGATCCCGACCAATGAGTGGTTTATCTAGTGGTATGAGCTAGGTCACTTCAATACAGTGGCTCAGTTTGATGCAACACTAAGCCAGTCCATGACTGAGCATGAATAAGCATGCAAGCGGGTACAATACTTGGAGCAAAAACCATGGCCACTTCACTCCTCTCCTAGTCCTGCTGCTGCTGCGAGTCAATGTTTGGTTAGCATTATGTCCAAATCCAGGCTTCAGACAAACCACGAACAATAGGACAAGAACAAACTTAAGACAAACCATGAGCCCAGGTTTGGAGGTGATGCTAAGCCAAACCATGGCTTAGTTCTGGGTAGTAGAACAGCAGCAGGACTGGGGAAGGAGTGGAGCAGCTGTGATTCTTTTTCTCTGAGTACCTTCACACTTCCTTAAAAAATTGTCCAGTAGCACCTTAGAGACCAACTAAGTTTGTTCTGGGTATAAGCTTTCGTGTGCGTGCACACTTCTTCAGATACCAGAACAAACTTAGTTGGTCTCTAAGGTGCTACTGGACAATTTTTTAATTTTTTAATTTATTTCGACTGCGTCAGACCAACACGGCTACCTACCTGAATCCACACTTCCTTGTTCAGGCTAAGCTATATTTTGGCTTAGCATTGTTTGTGAACCATGCTATTGAGAACTTGTGTGGAGACTAACTTGTAAACCAAGAAGCCATGATTAAAGCCACCCCAGTACCAAAGTTATGACGGTATTCCTAGGCAACTTACTGTATCTCATCATCATCATCAACGGAAATGTGGGTTGTGAACTAACTACAGGTCAACTAACAACTATGATAAGAAATATAATCAAACCTGGTAAACAAATAAACAAAAACAGGGTTAACATAATAATTTTCCCCCTTTAAAATATAAAGTGGTATAGAAAAATGAAATGAAAAGAATAACAGTAACAATAACTGAAATATAATGTGAAGTGCTTTGAAAGTTCAATATAGCTTCTAAGAGTTGTTGTTTGGTGATGATGGGATTTTGATTATAAGAGACAGCATTCATCCTGCATCTAGTCTGTAAACTTAGAATGGATATTTGTCAGACCTGTCAGTCCACTCCTTTCCAAAAACACATTTAAAAATGCAGATACTTTCATTTTTAAGTCCCTTATTAAAAATGAAACAGTCTTTTGCCTCGACTTGGGAAATAGATGCTACGTTGACTGGAGACATTTTAAAAAGCACAGCTATTTATTATTATCTAAAACATTTGTATCCCACCTTTCCAAATTTTGGCAGTGGAAATAACTTCCATTTAAAAAATGCACTATAAAGGGGAGGACCTCCTATAGGTGGGGCCTTTTCAGTTGTTGCACCCCAAATCTGCAACAGCCTCTCCATGGAGGTCAGCCAGATCCCATCACCTGTTTGCTTTTAAACGGGCAACAAAACAACTGTATTCCAGCTAGTTTTTTTGGGTTTTTTTACTATACCATCTTTAAATTGTTTTTAATGCTCCTATTGCTTTTAGGTTTTCAGTCTTTATTTAGAGTGCTTTGTGGCTTAACTGATATTTTTGTAGTTTTTTATTGTGCACTGTTTCTGTTCTAATGGCAACCTGCCTTATGCATTAGAAAAATTGCATACTAATTCTGAAAACAGACAAACATATTTATGCTCTTGTGATTTCCCTCAGCAGTATTCTTGAGAAGGTCCTGCCTTGGAGTAAGATGGTTTGTGATGGTTATCTTCTAGTTGTTTACAACCCTGTCATCCTATCCCAGTGTCCCTGTGAGATTTCCTCTGACTCCCTTCTTAATAGTAGCACCCTAATTTGTGTATATTAAAGAAGTCATTGAATGTGAAACAGTAGGACATAGATATGACACTTAGAACCAATCCTGTATAACTTTCTTAAAAATAAATTATACTGTGTTCCGTGGGATTTACTCCCATTGTTGGGGATTTGGCAGACTTTTGAGAGAAAGCTTTTGTTGGTGGTGGTATTGATACTGCATTTGTGAAATTCTGTTCCTCATGATATCAGCCCCTATCCCTATAAATCTTTAATACAGTAGAATTGTATGCATAGCAGCTTTTGAGCTACCCAAGATGAGCATAAATTTATTTGCAGTAAGTAATTTTTTAATTAGACAGTACATTAATCAAACCAATACACCATGTACAGATATAAGCCATAAAAAACTACCAAGAATCTTGTGGCATCATAAGAACTAACAATTTTTTTATGATAATAGCTTTAGCTGCAAGAGACTAATATGGCCACCTGCACCGGAAATAAGCCAGAAGGACACTCATTGGCAATTTAACCCAACAGCAATTTTGCACAAACAGGTGGTGCCTTAGCATGAGAAATGTAATATAAACGGAGCAAACAGATCTGTAAGTGTTTTGATTTAAGGATATACTAAGAAAGAAGGGCAAGCTTCTTGACGTAAGACTCACCTAAGAGTCAAAGGTGTGCAGGGATATGAAATGGTGGTGCCACACGGCTGCTTTTCAAGTATGATAAGGACAGTGTCTGAACAGGGCAGGGTGGTGGCACTGGGTAGACATTTGGGAGAGGGCATTTCTGGCAGTAGCCCTGCGTTTGTGAAATTTTATTCCAAGTGAGATCAAGCAAATCACATCCCTATAGGTCTTTAAATGGATCTTGAAGACTTAACATTTGTTTCCTGCTGCTGTTTTGAACTGATTTTCAGTGGCCTTCTGATGCTCTGGTGCTGTTTTTATTCTGATTACATGGGGTTTTTATGGTTGTACTGAGCTGATTGTTTTAACATGCTGGCTCTTTTAATGTTGTTAGAAACATTTAAGTTGTGTTGTTGTGTGCTGAGTTGATACAATATTTGTGTTTGCTCCCTTGTGAGGAAATCCTTCTAACAGGTGGGATGTAAATCTCTTAAACCAGGGGTCCCCAAACTTTTTAAACAGGGGGCCGGTTCACTGTCCCTCAGACACTGTTGGGGGCCAGACTATAATTTGAAAAAAATATATGAACGAATTCCTATGCACACTGCACATGGTTTATTTGTAGTGCACAAAAAACCAGAAAAAAATACAATATTTAAAACGACGAACAATTTTAATCAACATAAACTTATAAGTATTTCAATGGGAAGTATGGGCCAGCTTTTGGCTAATGAGATGGTCAGTATCGCTAATGCTCGCCCCTACATCCCAGCCTACACATGGATCCCCCCATGGCCCAGTCTACATGCAGGCCTTCCATGCCTCCATCCCCACAACCCAGCTTATACAAGTCTCCCTAACCCCCTTCCCCATGACCCAGCCTATGCATGTGCTTCCCTAACCCAGATCCCCATGACCCAGCCCGCACCCATGTCTCCTTAAGCCCCATCCTCACGACCCAACTTGCCCGTGTGTCTCCCTAACCTCCATCCACACACCCCAGCTTGCACGCCTGTCCTCCAACCCCAAATCCCCACACGCCAGCCTGCTTGAGCGTCTCCCTACCCCCAACCCCCATGGCGCGGCCTGCCCACATGTCGCTCGTCCCCACGACTCCCAACTTACTGCGGGGGCAGCTGCAGGGCCGGGCCACCCCTCCTCTGGAAGGTGCCATCGACGAAGATGCTGTTCTTGCCCACAACGCGGCTCTGCAGGCACCGGGCCCTGGGGAGGTGAGGTGGGCGTCCCAGGAGGCGGCAGCGAGAGCACAGAGTGCTGCAGCGCCAGCAAGGCCCTCGTGCTGGGCCAGACCTCAGCTGCAGCCATCTTCCAGTGCAGCGGGCGGCGGATGAGGAAGGCAGGCAGGCAGGGGCGGCCACTGACTATGCACCACTGACTTCCGGGGCAAGGAGGCAGGTGGACAGGCAGGGAGAGGTGGTGTTGAGGCTTCTGCGGCTTCTGATTGGCTGCAGGAAGCTCCAGCGGTGTTTCGGCTGGTGGGCTGGATTTATGAGCCTGGCGGGCTGGATGCGGCCCGCGGACTATATTTTGGGAACCCCTGTCTTAAACAGATAAGGTGCATACACATCTTTGAATGCAACAGACATGTGTTTTCAAATGCATCTGTGCCATACAGATTAGAAGAAGAAGAAGAAGAGTTTGGATTTGATATCCCGCCTTTCACTCCCTTTAAGGAGTCTCAAAGCGGCTAACAATCTCCTTTTCCCTTCCTCCCCCACAACAAACACTCTGTGAGGTAAGTGGGGCTGAGAGACTTCAAAGAAGTATGACTGGCCCAAGGTCACCCAGCAGCTGCATGTGGAGGAGCGGAGATGCGAACCCGGTTCCCCAGATTACGAGACTACCGCTCTTAACCACTACACCACACTGGCTTTAGATTGAGATGGTACCCGAATATAGAATGCTCTCCCTCTTGGAGATATAAAACTGGTACCAGCTCTCCTAACTTTTCAGCACCAGTTACAACGTACCTTTTTCATCAGGCCTTTATGGGGGACTTAATCATAGTTCTTTTCACAATTTGGGAGGGGGTGGGAGGGACTTAGGACTTTCATTTTTATTAAGCACAGTTTTGACTTTCCTTTTGCATCAGTCACTTAGGTCATCTTAAATCGACATCTGATTTTCTTTTGGATAATCTATGAAGAATGGTCTTGTCTGGCCATCTGAAATGGATCGCTGAAGGTATAGGAATGGAAATGTTGAATTTAAACACCTTAACAGTTTTGTGCAGTGGAAAACATCTAATCAGAATGGGTTCCTTCTGAGCAACATTTTGTAAATAGACCATAAATCAAAGGACAATGAAATCTCAGATCACTTCTTGTTTTCACAGCTCACCTAGTTTCATGTTTAATTAAACTCTTTAAATCAGATGCTAACAAATGTAGATATAAATAGTAACCCCAGGCTGAAACACCAGAAAGTGTGCCCTTACAAATGGCCCTAGGTACAAAGAAAATAATAATTAAAGTCTGTTAAATACTGTAATTTTTGCTCCAAAACATGCACTTTTTTGCTCCTAGAAAGTAAGGGAAAATGCCTGTGCGTGTTACGGAGCGAATGCACTCGACCGGAGCCATGGCTGCCATCAGTCAAGCAAAGCGGGAGCCGCTTGCAGGGCTTCTGTCCTGCTTTGCACGGCTCTAGCTTTGCTTGCTTTACAGCCAGGAGGAGGGGGAGGAGCCGAGGAGGAGGGAGGGAAGGGTTTTTAAAAGTTTTTTAAAAGGCTGCTGGGGACAGGAGGGCACGGGATGAGGGAGAGGGGGAAATTACGATTCTCCCAGCGTCTCAGCTGATCCGCTGAGCAGGACTTGGGTTGCAGGGGATTCGCCATTAGCTGCGTAAAGCAGCAAAGAGGGAGAGAAGGAGCAAAGCGGGAGAGGAAAGGAGCTGCTTACACTGCTGTAAGTGGCTGCTGTCTGGTTGGCTCCTTTAAAGCAACAGTGCTCTTTCCCTCCCCCCTCCCCGCTCAGCTCCCCGAAAAGCTCCTTTTCCACACACCCCACGCGAGCTCCTTCTCCCCTTAAACCCCTCTCCTGCATCATTAGCAGCATCCTTCTCCACACACCCCATGCGTGTTCCTTCTCCCCTTAAACCCCTCTC